ATATGATGAGCAGAACCACTGTCAAGAAACCAAGACCTTGTTAATGCTGCAGTCGAATGTGGAGTGTCGACTTGCTTTGTCGTTGTTGTCGTCTGGGCAGTCTTTGATGACTGCTCGACAGTGTCGTCATGCTTTCGGATCGCAGTTGGTGTGGCCACCGACTCTTTGTTGTGTCGGTAGTCGCACAGTTCGTCGTACCATAGTTGTGCCTCTTTTTGACATTCTCGTAAGGCCTCTGCACTATCATCCCACCATTTTTGTGGTAATGGATCTGGTACTTTGACGGTGTCACCCTCATTCGGCAGCTCTTTCCATCTGTCCAGTCTGGCTCTGCCAGATATGGTATGGAAGTAGTAGTCCACGTTGCGTACGTCGAAGCGTATCCGACGACGTGTCTTGGTAGATGTCGCTGTGGCCTTTGTGTTGGCCATGAGGGTCTTGTCACGGATGACGTAACTGCGGTCTGAACGGCGTGCACGTCTAAAGTTGGCAGGAGAACGTGCTCTAGTGTTGGGAGAACCACGGGGCGACCCGCGGCTCGGAGACCGCTTGTCACGTCCTTTGTCACTACCATATGATCTATCACGGCCGCGTGGACTGCCGCGTCCGCCGCCACGATTGTCTCGTCCTCGGGAGGTAGATCTCGAAGATCTGTCGTAACGACTTCTCGATTGGCTGCGAGAGTCTTGGGACCTCCTGGATGTCGAACGGGATCGGTCGCATTGGCGTCGGTTGCCACGTCCCTGTCGTGAATCGCTTGCGTAGCGAAACCCCCCGCGTTGTGAAGACCGTTGGCTTCCTGATCCGGGGGGTGGTGATCGGCCACGGCTGTCCTGGCTGGAAGTCCGTGGTCGACTCGGGCCTCGTTCAGGAGTCTTTGCACCAGGTGCGAGATGAGCGTATTTGCATTTGTCGCCTTTTGTGCACTTGTTCTGTGCGAAATCCTTGCACTGCGCGACGTGTGGGAAGTTGCACTTATCACCTCTGGTACATGTGTTGCGCTTGGCAAAATCGAAGCAGAATGGCTTTGATGCTGGCTTCTTGCGATTCGCAGGAGTGGACATACTACGGCGGTGGTTGCCACCAGCCGTTGATGTTCTGGAAGATTTGTTGTTCTTCCAATCCCTGGAATATGTATGTAAAGCCTTGCACCGTTCACCGTTGCGACAATTGCCTTTCTTCCATGCAGCGCACGCGTTGACCTGAGATCGTGTCTCATGTTCGTACCGTAGCTTGTTTTGATTATTCTCCAATTGTTTAATCTCCAGTATGTCCAGGACACGCTGTCGAAGCCAACCGTAGGTACGATTCGGGTCGCTCATCTTCATGCGCTGGTACTCGTACATGTCTTGTTTCATCCATGCATGTCTACGAATCTGTGTGCGAAATAGCGATTCCAATATCTTTGGATCGGGTACTTCTCGGCATTCCAAGAGTAAGGCGTCCCAATCGGTAATAAAACGTTGCAAATCTTCATCTCTCATCCTCAGTTCTTTAAGGCGCTCGAAATCGCGCAGGTCGTCGTCAACGTCTGTCACTTTGTAGGACTGTAGGATATGCCAGTATATCTGGCGTCCTTTGAGCATGCGTCCTGCTTTGTGCTCTCTGGTCTCGATGAGCCTGATTTGGTAGCGTAAGTCTGAGGATAAGATGTCGCTCAGAGCGGTTGCGAGTTTGCAATCGATGCTCTCAAAGTCTCCACTGTCTTGTAAATCCTCGAATGTACATTCGGGCTGTTCTGCCACGCATAGGAAGGCGTATGCTTTGGATGGTCGCCCTGAGGCGGCCCCGAAGTCCTTTCGCACTCTTTGCTGCCACTCCAGCAGCTGCGTGATCTTAGGCAAGACAGGTACTCGGACGGTGTCTGACTCCTTGATAGGCGTCGTTGTATGGACCGACACCGCAGACACTGGTTGTGAGGGTATCGGTGCACCGTCGGTGGTTGGTTCTGTGCGCACAGGAGACACATGACGTGTCTGTGCAGAAGCTGCCGCGGAGGCTGCTCCTGGGGACGTACGTCGTTGTTGTCCTGCTGAAGCTTGTGGTGCTTCGGCGGACGCTGCCGTCGGCCTGTGCGGGTCGGCTGCAGGTCGAAGGTGAATGTTGGTGTCGTTAGTGTGGTCGATCAGCTGATTCGTCCAGCTCGTCATGTCTTCTTGTATTTGACCCACCTTTTGGCGTGTGTACTCATCAGTATCCCGAGAACGTTGTGAATACCGATCAAGTCGATGCTCGTATGCTCGGAGACGGGCGCTTTGCGCCTCCATCTCGCTTTCCAGACGTGCGAGGTAACTCTCTACACGCACCTTCTCAGTATCTCTTTCATGAATAACCTGGGAGAGCTCTAACTGCGTGTGGTCCGCCGCCTTCTCAACCTCCTGCAACCTGTCAGTGAGGCGGGCGAAATCGTAAACCGTGGGAGGAGAATCCAGCTGATCAGTCTGGGCTCGTCCGACACGCAACTCTGCCAGGGCGTCCTGTACACCAGGGAAACGCTGCTCTATGTCAGAGATCCGGTTAGCGAGTGGCTGCACGACAGCGTTGGTCGCATCAAGCCTTTGAGTGATGACTCTCTCAGTACGCTGCAACATGTCGATCAGGTTCGACGAGTTTGCGTGTGCTTCGGTACGAAGCGTCGCCGTAGTGTGGTCTAGGTAAGATCGAAGATCATTGATCTGAGACTGAACGTCGCCAAGGTCTGTGGCCTCGGTTGGAGTTGGTCGGTTGCGGAGCTGGTCGTGGATCTCATCATGTAAAATCCTGACCGCAGAAACGCCTGTGTCGCGTACGATCACAAGTTGTTGCTCCATCTGCGCGAGATAGTTGCGCAGGTTCTCGACCATCGCCGTTCGTTCACCTGAGTGTGACACCTCACGATCAACCTGGTACTGCAGTTCTCCTATGATGCGTCGATCTTCGGCGATCCTGGAATCGATGATCCCTAAGGCGCCGTCAAGGTCGCGGCGTATGGCTGCAGTATCGGTGGCGTTCGTCTGAACGCTCTGTAGTAGTCCAGAGTATTGGCTGGACACGAAGGTTTCGACCTGGTCTCGGAGCTCAGCTATGTCACCTGCGGCGGACGTCTCCGCCAGCTGGTCGTCTGAGATGGAGAGGTGGGGAGCGTCAGCTTCCCTGTGCCCCCTGTCGCGGGGAGTGCATGGCCTCTGAGAGGCAGTGCGCGGGCTCGACCTGCTTTCGCCGTATGGGCCTGGGGCTCCACGGCGGTTGCGCGCGGACGAGCTGCGACTCGGACCATGTGTGTGTGGTGTCTCATCCGATGATACCTTGGGGTACCGCGTCTGTGGCTGTGCCGACACTGGTCTACTGAGTTCCTCGAAGGTAGCTACGTGCTCCGCCACAGGGGCGGTCGCAGGGCTGGGGGTCCCAGCACCTGAGGTCCATCGGCGGTTAGCGCGAAAGCGCCCTGGAGTATCGAGACCGGTAAGGCTTTCGCCTGACGCGGTTGGGATTGCTCCCGACGGGGAAGGGGAGGGAGGATCGAAGGCCGGCGTGTGAAACTCCTTCCTTCCTGTTCCTACTCCTTCTCCTGTCCCCCCGCGGGCGGCGCCGCGGCGAAGTTCAGCAGCTAGTCGCGCCTCGGGTCCTTGGGAGCTGGGGGGGGGGTATCTGGAACACCAACACAGTCCGCACTAATGCTCTCCAACTCGTCACCGAGCCGTCGGGCCGTGGGAGAGCTTGGACGCGAAGCCCCAATGGAACCCTTACGGCGCATGCGCCGAAGTGGCTCCATCAGGCTCGCATGCAAGGTCACCGCGGTCGAGTCGGTGAAGGTGAGCTTTAAAGGGCTGATAACCTGTGTATGGGGTTGAAGTACAAGGGTACAGAACCCCTGATCCGTTGGTAGAGAGATGGAGGGATAGATGGATATCTTTCCCTCCCACGCGATCAAGGTACGATCGCTCCAACTCAGTACCTGAGCCCAAACGGCCAGGTGCGGGAGAGGTAAGGATAAGGAGTATATATGAGGGTATTACACGGGTTCCATTCACAGCTGTGGTCTGGTGGGGCGTGACGCACTGGCTGACTGCCAGACCATCCCAACCCGACCCAGGCCCAAAATTTCGGGTGTGTGGGGGGGAGGGGCGTGCGGGGTCCCGATGTCTGTTTCTCCAGCATGCTCCCGGACGCCCCCCCCCCCCCTGGAGGTGGATGGCAGCTTGGGGCCTCCGGGCAGGGCTGGGTCGGCTCGGTGGGTCACGCTCTCCGGCACCAGAACACCCACGTTTTCGGGGCCTCTTGGGCCGTTCTGGGGCCACCTTGGAGGCCTCTTTTGGGCGACTCTTGGGCGATCTGCGGGGTCTCTTGGGCCCTCTCGGGCGGTCGGAGGACCGACGGGACGCAAAGGCAAAAACTCGCCGAACAGCTGAAGCACGTCAGTGACTTTGGCCTCTTCCCCAGAGATCCGATGTCGTGACTTTTTCAATGCGGGGTCCCCGGAAGTCTCGACCCATTCCCCAGGACCGGCTTTTCGTCCTGAGTCGTTTTTGGACGGTCCCGGGGCCCGTCGAAGGCCGCCAGAGGCCAAAAATCAAAAAAAAACTCCCGTCGTGATTTGTTCAATGTCAATGCGTCGGAGGTCTGGGTCGGGCCTTCGACGGGCAGCGGAGGGTCTGCACCAACGGCCTCGCGGCTGAGTCCCCGGCCCCGGGCCCCACGCGGCACAGTGCGCAGCGCAGCGCAGAGGCACCCCTCCCCGCGGGAGCGCGCCGGTGCGGTGGCGCATCCGCGGGGAGGGGGCGCGCGCGCCTCGGGCACGCGAGCCGCGAACGTCCGCGGACATCGAGTTAAAAGTCTGGCGTCCCCCTACAGAGGGGATTTTGGACGAACAATAAAACAGTAGCCCCAAAAATACCCCCAAACAGTCACGAATAGTTTAAAAAGTCGTCGAGGTATCATGTTTTCTTTACTGTTAGTGAAAATTCCTCCTGTAGAGGGACAGGCACGGCATAAACATAGAGAGGTTCGCCACCCGCGGCCGCCTGCGTGACCTCGTCCATGATGTCCACCACGGCCCTGAGCCACCCTTTGCCGCCCAGGGTGGCCTTCGCTCGGGCCACCACCTCGGGCTCCTCCGCCTGCAGCAGCTTGCTCAGGGAGCTCCCCTCCATGTAGCCCCTGCCCTCGCCGTGGGCGATCATGAGGGCCGCGGTGCAGGTGGAGATCAGCGCCTGGAGGTCCTCGGGCGGGATGTTGGCGTGGCAAGCCTCCTCGGGCAGGGAGGTCTCATGAGCGACGAAGGACACAGATCTCCGACGAGATGGTGTATGCAATCTGGGCCTTCTTCCTTCAAATCGGCCTCTGGGGGCCGTTTTCGGGCCTGGCGGGATCAAAAATATTCAAAAATGGATTCGGGACGACAGACTGTTCCCGGGGAAGCGGTTGGGACGTCTGAGGCCGCGGACTGAACAAGAGCACAGGTCGGCAGATGTCAGCAACGAGGGGGTCCTGCCAGGATAGCGGCGCGCCAACTGCACCAAGGCTCCACCGCGACGATGCTTTCCGATTCCGGGTTGTGTTCGTTCTCCCTCGTTCTGTCTCCGATCCACCTTCGCAACAATCCCGAGATCCGATGTCGTGACTTTTTCAATACGGGGTCCCTGGAAGTCTCGACCCATTCCCCAGGACCCGCTTTTCATCCCGAGCCGTTTTGGACGGTCCCGGGGCCCGGCAAGGGCCGCTGGAGACCGAAAATCGAGAGAGAACCCTCCGTCTTGACTTGTGTCCATGCGTCGGAGGTCTGGGAGCACGGCAAATCAAAACGAGAACGGCCCACGAAATCGCCAATACCCCGTCTGGGTATATGTTGCTCCCATCGTACTTGGGGGCCACATCCCAGAAACAATTTCCAGCACCCGGACAAGTGTCGGAAGAGTGTCGAGACAGTGTCGAACCAGTGTCGGACGAGAGTGCCTCCCAGGGCCCGTCGCGTGGAAACCCTCGAGCTGTCGTGTGCTCTACTGGCGCTCGAAATTCTTGTTTCTGGCGATCCAGGCCAAAGCAGGTTGGAACATCATAATTTGTTTCCGCCGCGCGGACCTCTCGAACAAACCCAGGGTTGGAGGGCCCTCTACCCCTGGTTTGCTTCCCTGTTTTCGGAGGGCGACGAGGGAACGAGGGAGAGGAGGAGGAAGACAAGGCCGAGGGGGAAGCAACGACGAGCCCACAGCGCAGAAACGACAGAGCGGGAGGACAGGAAACGAGAGAGCAGGCGACGGAGCGACAAGACGAGACGACACGACGTTGGAACATCAGAAGTCCGGGCCGAGCCCCGCGCTGCACCTGCACGCCAGCCCGGGCCAGGCCCCCACCGCACGTGGGACCCACGGGGGGAGGCGGCGCGTGCCGTGGCTCCCCCCGGAGCGCCCAGGCGCGCGCAGGGGGGTCGGAGTCGGAGGTGAGGAGGCGAAAACCCTCCTCCTCCTCCTCCTCCTCCTCCTCCTCCTCCTCCGCCTCCGCCTCCTCCTCCTCCTCCTCCTCCTCCTCCTCCTCCTCCTCCAGCCTAGTTATGGTGGCGGTGGTGGTGGTGGAAGATCGGCCCATCAAGGGAGACACGAAATCCACTAGCAGTGCGGCCGCCGCCCATGAGGGCTGCCACCCCCGCCCCCAGTCCCGACACCCTTGAACCGTCGGCTCGGGGATGGGGGTCGGGACTGGGGGTGGGGGTGGGTGTTCGCCTTCTGAGGAGGAGGGGCCGCGGAAGGGCTCGAGGAGCAGCGGGCCCCAATTCCGGACCCGAAGCGTTCCTCACTGCAGCGTCCTGACTGCACCAAGATAAGATCAGGTCGGGCAGGTCCCCCTGCGGGGGCGAAGCTCGGACGGAAAATAGAAAGTACCCCAACAAGACTCAAACGGAGTCCACACATATACCAGAAGAATCGTCCCCAGACTATGTTTAAACTGTCCTTGGAGATTCTTCCTGCAAAGGGACAGGCCCGATTTCAGGACAGCAGCACGCCGACCATACGTGTGGGCGGGCAAAGACCCAGAGATCCGATGCCGTGATCTTTTCCATACGGGTCCCCGGAAGTCTCGACCCATTCCCCAAGACCGGCTTTTCATCCTGAGCCGTTTTTGGACGGTCCCAGAGCCCGGCGAGGGCCGCCAGAGGACAAGAATCGAGAAAAACCTCCGTCCTGATTTTTTCGATACGTCGGAGGCCTGGGAACACAAACAATCAAGACGAACATCGAGGAAACCTTCCGTCTTGATTTTTCGAATACGTCGGAGGTCTGGGGAAGCCCTCGACGCCGGACCACTGCTCGCAAGGGGGGCGAGAAGAGCGGGGAGCGCGCGCGACGGCGCGAGCCCCCCTCTCTGGCTCCAGGGCTGGCCGACCTCGGCGCTGCTCCCCCAATAGTAACGCCGACCTCGGCAAACCCCCGGCGTGATTCCCAGGACCCCCTCGAGGAATGAAAAACTCACGACGGGAGGTGTTTCGTGATGTTCGGCCTCTGGGGGCCCTTCCCGGGCCTCAGGGCCGTCAAAGAACGACGCGGGATGAGAAACCGGTCCGGGGAATAGGTCGCAACCTCCGAGGGTCGATGCTACGAAAAGATCATGACGTCGGGGGTCTGGGCTTCAATCGACCGATAGCTCTGCCAGCGCCCACAGACACACATCGACACTGGCCAGGCCCGTCCCTGGCCCAGGCATCGGTCTACGCGCGCCGCCCGGCCTGGCCAGAAGGGAGGCAGGGGGAGGGAGGGGGGGTGGACAAACCTCCCTTTAGTAGACCTCCCCTTAGTGAATACGGCCTGGGACCGAAACCGACGGACCTGGACCCGCAAAAATGACGGCCGCGACGCCCTCTCGCGAACCGAGAACGGCCAATTCGGTAATCGACGTGTCAGGGTAGGAGGTCTGTCCACCCCCGAATGGGGGGGGGGCTGCTCGCGCGCGACCCTGCGAGGGAATCCTGCGCGCAGGTGCCGACGCGGTCAGCCCCCCCCCCCGTCTTCGGTGGGGCCCGCAGGAGGCACCTTGGATCAGGGACCTTGGGAGGAGGAGGAGGAGGAGGAGGAGGAGGAGGAGGAGGAGGAGGAGGAGGAGGTAATCTAGGGGCACCTCTGTCGTCGACTCCGCGCTCGGCCACGGTGCCCCGGGGCTCCGCGGAGCCGTCGGGGGAGAGAAGGAACTCTCGTGGGGCAGGTACACGTCTCGCTTCGTGTGCCTGCTAGGAGCGCCTCCCTCCTCCTCCTCCTCCCTCTCCTCCTCCTCCTCCTTCTGCTCCTCTCCTCCTCCTCCTCCTCCTCCTCCTCCTCCTCCTCCTCCTCTCCTCCTCCTCCTCCTCCTCCTCCTCCTCCTCCTCCTCCTCCGTCGAGGAGGGCGGGGCAGGGGAGAGGGTCAAGCAGCGAACACCTGGCGGGCGGTGCTCTCTCGCCTCGGTGGCCGACTCCTCGGCCCCCCCGGGCCCGCCTCGGACTGTGTGGAGCTGCGCGCCACGGGCAGGTCGACGGAGGGAAGGGGAGGGAGGCAGTGGACGACCACGACGAATGCCAGGATGATGGGGGGTGATGGGCCTGTGTTCCCAACAACACTACCATACATTGGAGGGGGGAAGGAAGAGGCCAATGATGAGGAGGAGGCGGAGGAGGAGGACGAAGAGGAGGAGGTGGAGGAGGAGGAGGAGGAGGAGGAGGAGGAGGACAAGAAGGACCCCCTCCCCCTCCAACTTATGGTGGCGGTGGTGGAAAACAGGGCCATCCATGGGGGATATGGGGGCGTGGTGGAGCGTGCTGCCACGGAGCTGCGTTTGCCGCAGCTGAGCTACTGCTGAGCCGCGGTTGAGGTCCAGGTCCATACGTAATAGGACTGCTGCTGCCGCTGATGCTGGAACCGCCTTCGCTACTGCTCTCACTGATGCTGCCAAGGCTAACACGGCGACGGGAGGGAGAAGAGGAGGGGGACAACGACGACGACAACGGCGACGAGGATGACGAAGAGATGGGCGGGGGCACACCGCCATTTGGCGGGGGGCAGCGAGGCGGAGGACATGGACCGCCCAAATCGATCCGGCTCGGGAGATGCGCCGCAGAAAGATAGGGTCTAAGGCTCTGTTCGAGAATGTTGTCGCGATGCTGGCGTCGCATCTCGGGAACGGGCGGAGCAGACCGCAGAGCTATAATTCTCGAGGACGAGCTGTACTGCCTGAAGGGGCGCTTGGCCGAGGACAAAGGCGCAACGCCTCGAAGTGGCTGCGGGTCTCAGCCCGCCAGAGTGACATACGCCCCGTCTTCACACGCCCGGTTCAAGCAAAAACCTGAACCGAAAGAAATTGTCATCTCTTGGGGTGGATGCCGATCTTACTTCCGCCGAGCTTCCGCCGGCGGAGCCGCCCCTGCTTTACTTCCGCCGCTTTCCGCCAGCCTTCCGCCGCTTTGCGCAGGAGAAGAGATATCAACTCCTTCGATCCTCGAAGGCGAGGCCCTGTCTTGAGCGCCTCACATGCCGTCAAGGAGGCGGACGAGGATTGGGACAAGTCGGGCGAGGCCAGAGAGGGAGCGCCGGTTGCTGCACGGCACGCAGTGGTGCCGCGGACCCTGGAGGCCTCTGGAGGTCTCCAGAGGCCAGAAAAGGATTGTATTTCAATCGGTCCTCGCAGCCCGGTCCTCGCTCCTCGAGCCTCGATCCTCGAGCATCGAGTCTCGATCCTCGAGCATCGACCCTCAGGCCTCAGGGCCCTACTCCACGTGCCTTAGTAAACGGCCCCCCATAAAATACCGCCAACCCCCCTACTTCGGCATATTGATACTCCGGCCCCCCCCTCCACGGGAGGCGCCTTAATACTCTGGCCCCCTTCTGGGAAAGTTGAGTGCTGTAGCTATGCTGGTGGACATGAACGGGCTGCGGTTACACAGTTATGACTGCATTGGTGATCAGAACTCTGTCGGCTTGCGATGTCGACAACAATTATGATCAATGGTTAACACCATGATCGTGCATGTGATGCTGTGGTACAGGCGCTGTGTCACCGCTGTCACCAACACCATCATTATCATCACCGTCACGTTCACAATTTGCGATCACCAGCGTCATGATCGCCGTCGCGTGCGGTCTTCAAGCATCTTCTGATCTTATGTGGGGCCATCGTGAAGGTCAGCTTCAAACCTCTTGCCCAAAATAGCCATTCACAAAACGCCTGAATTCTCTGGCCCCCTTTCGCTTCGGTCACGCGAAACCGCTTTAACATTCTGGCCCCTTTTGAAAAAGGCGCCTTAATATACCGGCCCAGGTGGCCGCCTAATGAGGGACGTGAAGTATGAGCGCGGCTCCTCGACCCTTGATCCTCCTCTCCTCGATCTTAGATCTTCGGCTCTCGATCCTCCTCCTCCTCCTCCTCCTTCTCATTGTCTTCGTCCTCGTCCTCGATCCACGATCCTCTTCCTCATCCTCCTCCTCCTCCTCCTCCTCCTCCTCCTCCGCCTCCTCCTCCCCTCCTCCCCCTCGTCCCCCCCTCCTCCTCCTCCTCCTGCCTCCTCCCCTCCTCCTCCTCCTTCTTCTCCTCCTCCCGCTCCTCCTCCCCCTCCTCCTCCTCCTCCCGCTCCTCCTCCTCCTTCTCCTCCTCCTCCTCCTCCTCCTCTCCTCCTCGCCCTCTCCCGCTCCTCCTCCCTCCTCCCCCTCCTCCCTCCTTCTCCTCCTCCTCCTGCTCCTCCCCTCCTCCTCCTCCTCCTCCTCCCCTCCCCGTCCTCCTCCCACTCCTCCTCCTCCTCCCCCCTCGTCCCCCTCCTGCCTCCTCCTCCTCCTCCTCCTCCTCCCCTCCTCCTCCTCCTCCTCCCGCTCCTCCTCCTTCCTTCTCCTCCTCCTCCTCCTCCTCCTCCTTCCCCCTCCTCCTCCTCCTCCCCCGCCTCATCCTCCTCCCCTCCTCCTCCTCCTCCTTCTCCTCCTCTCCTCCTCCCCCTCCTCCTCCTCCTCCTCCTCCCCTCCTCCTCTCCTCCTCCTTTCTCCTCCTCCTCCCTCCTCCTCCTCCTCCTCCCTTTCCTCCTCCTCCGCCTTCCTCCTCTCCTCCTCCTCCTCCCGCTCCTCCTCCTCCTCTCCTCCTCCGCCTCCTCGTCCTCCTCCTCCTTCTTCTCCTCCTTCCTCCTCCCTCTCCTCCTCCTCGATCCTCCTCCCCCCTCCTCCTGCCTCCTCCTCCTCCTCCTCCTCTCCTCCTGCCTCCTCCTCCTCCTCCTCCTCCCTCCTGACCCCTCTCCGCCCTCCTCCTCCCTCCTCCCCCCTCCTCCCCCTCTCTCTCCTCGTCCTCCCCCTCCTCCTCTTCCTCCTCCTCCTCCTCCTCCTCCTCCTCCTCCTCCTCCTCCTTCGCATCCTCCTCTTCCTCGGTCCTCTAATTCCTGAGCCTCGAGCCTCGAGCCTCCGGCTCTGAGGAACGCGGCTTCTCTGGGAAAACAAGCCTACACGCCGTTCAATGCTCATCGTGCTCGTTTCTACTTGTGTTCGTTTCTAATTGTTCCTGGCCCCCTGGTGGCCAGGAAGAGGCCCAGGATAGAACACTTAGGAGTGAAAGGATCTTGGCCCCCAACAAACATCACAAAGACCTTTCGAATAATTAGAAATCAGCAGTGTGTATCACTGCAGGAGTGGCCAAGGATGCATGAGAGCAGCCTGCCGGGAGCGCCTGGAGGCCCTCGCTCCCACATCCCGTGCGGGACCTTCGAGACGCTTGGAGATCCAGGACTTGGACATCCAGGAACCTGTCATCAGGTCGGGCGTGTCCTCCTAAAGGCAAGTTTTGAACGACAAATAGTTTTGAACGAAAACTTACTCCGGCAAAGCAACCTAACAGCGATGTGTAGGAGCATATCTGGAAGCATTCCCCTTAAGATTCATATGACAATCCAGTTGTAGAACTCTGCTGTTCTCGCAGTCGTAGTCGCAGTCGCGATGACAGTCGCAGTGGCAACGGCAGTCGCAGTCACAGCCTCAGCCTGCCTCAGCCTCAGCCTCAGCCTGCCTCAGCCTCAGCCTGCCTCAGCCTCAGCCTTAGCCTGCTTCAGCCTCAGCATCAGTCTGCCTCAGCCTCGGCCTCAGCCTCAGCCTGCCTCAGCCTCACCCTGCATCAGCCTCAGCCTCAGCCTGCCTCAGCATCAGCCTGCCTCAGCCTCAGCCTCAGCCTGCCTCTGCCTCAGCCTGCTTCAGCCTCAGCCTCAGTCTGCCGTCGGCCTCGGCCTCAGCCTCAGCCTGCCTCAGCCTCAGCCTGCATCAGCCTCAGCCTCAACCTCAGCCTGCCTCAGCCTCAGCCTGCCTTCAGCCTCGGCCTCAGCCTCAGCCTGCCTCAGCCTCAGCCTCAGCCTGCCTCAGCCTGCCTCAGCCTCAGCCTCAGCCTCAGCCTGCCTCAGCCTCAGCCTCAGCCTGCTTCAGCCTCAGCAACAGTCTGCCTGCAGCCTCGGCCTCAGCCTCAGCCTGCCTCAGCCTCAGCCTGCCTCAGCCTCAGCCTCAGCCTGCCTCAGCCGCAGCCTCAGCCTCAGCCTGCCTCAGCCTCAGCCTCAGCCTCGGCCTGCTTCAGCCTCAGCCTCAGTCTGCCTTCAGCCTCAGCCTCAGCCTCAGCCTGCCTCAGCATCAGCCTCAGCCTGCATCAGCCTCAGCCTCAGCCTCAGCCTGCCTCAGCATCAGCCTGCCTCAGCCTCAGCCTCAGCCTGCCTCAGCCTCAGCCTCAGTCTGCTTCAGCCTCAGCCTCAGTCTGCCTTCAGCCTCGGCCTCAGCCTCAGGCTGCCTCAGCCTCAGCCTGCATCAGCCTCAGCCTCAGCCTCAGCCTGCCTCAGCATCAGCCTGCCTTCAGCCTCAGCCTCAGCCTGCCTCAGCCTCAGCCTCAGCCTGCTTCAGCCTCAGCCTCAGTCTGCCTTCAGCCTCGGCCTCAGCCTCAGCCTGCCTCAGCCTCAGCCTGCATCAGCCTCAGCCTCAGCCTCAGCCTGCCTCAGCATCAGCCTGCTCAGCCTCAGCCTCAGCCTGCCTCAGCCTCAGCCTCAGCTGCTTCAGCCTCAGCCTCAGCCTTCAGCCTCGGCCTCAGCCTCAGCCTGCACAGCCTCAGCCTGCCTCAGCCTCAGCCTGCACAGCCTCAGCCTCAGCCTCAGCCTGCCTCAGCCTCAGCCTGCCTCAGCCTCAGCCTCAGCCTCAGCTCAGCCTGCCTCAGCTCAGCCTCAATCTGCTTCAGCCTCGGCCTCAGCCTCAGCCTGCCTCAGCCTCAGCCTGCATCAGCCTCAGCCTCAGCCTCAGCCTGCCTCAGCATCAGCCTGCCTCAGCCTCAGCCTCAGCCTGCCTCAGCCTCAGCTTCAGCCTCAGCCTCAGTCTGCCTTCAGCCTCGGCCTCAGCCTCAGCCTGCCTCAGCCTCAGCCTGCATCAGCCTCAGCCTCAGCCTCAGCCTGCCTCAGCCTCAGCCTGCCTCAGCCTCAGCCTCAGCCTGCCTCAGCCTCAGCCTCAGCCTGCTTCAGCCTCAGCATCAGTCTGTCTTCAGCCTCGGCCTCAGCCTCAGCGTGCCTCAGCCTCAGCCTGTCTCAGCCTCAGCATGAGCCTGCCTCAGCATTCAAAATGTAACCCGGGAGTGGAGTTCGGGGAACTCGAAGAACACGAAGTGGCCTACAGTTGGCTCCGGGCATTCAAAATCATGCCCAGGAATGGAATTCTGGGAACTCGAAGACCACGAAGTGGCCTACAGTTGGCTCCGGGCATTCAAAATCATGCCCAAGAGTGGAGTTCTGGGAACTCGAAGACTACGAAGTGGCCTACAGATGGCTTCGGGCATTCAAAATCATGCCCAGGAGTGGAGTTCTGGGAACTCGAAGACTACGAAGTGGCCTACAGTTGGCTCCGGACATTCAAAATCATGCCCAGGAGTGGAGTTCTGGGAGCTCGAAGACCACGAAGTGGCCTACAGTTGGCTCCGGGCATTCAAAATCATGCCCAGGAGTGGAGTTCTGGGAACTCGAAGAACACGAAGTGGCCTACAGTTGGTTCCGGGCGTTCAAAATCGTGCCCAGGAATGGAGTTCTGTGAACTCGAAGATCACGAAGTGCGTTACTGCTAGCTAAAAAAATCATTGGATTTCCCCGGATTCCCGCGGCACCCGGGCGGCATCTGCCCAGACCCCCCTGCGGAGTCATGATGCTCTCTTTTGAAACCACTAGAAACCTATCAGTCTTCGCTGTTAGGTAATTAGAAACGCTCAGAAACAAATACCCATACATCGCCGTGGCAAAAGTGTCTTTCAATTTGCCTTTTGGAATGACACGCTCGTGCGGAGTAGTTCGGAGTATAGTTATACTCAAAGTACTCCGCGCGCAATCGCACCCCGCTCGATAATTTATATGGTTTGGCGCGGAGTAATTTCCGATCCCGTTTTGGGGTAACAGAGTTATTAACGTCTCCGGGATCGGAAACTACTCCGCCGAATGATCCCAGCATCATGTCATGTTAGGAATCTTGAGAGGGATGGGAGAGATCTTCATCATAGCAAGCTGAAGACACTTTTGTCACGGCTGTGTATAGTCAAAAAGGAGTTAAACAAACATTCCTGGGCTATTGTCTTACTTTTTTTGATACTCCTCCTGTAGAGGCACAGGCCCGACGCAAACCTATCCCTGCCATGGCGTGGCGCTCCTCCGCTCCCCGAGGCCCTCGAGGGCGCGCCCGCGCGCCCAGGCGCCCCATCGCTCCTGGGTCTGCTTGTGCTTGGCCTTCTTCGAGCCGCACGCCGGCTTGGCCGCCGGCGTCGCCGGGCGCTTCGTGCCCTCGCTGGATCGGCGGGAAAGGGATGCGCTGTCTTCGGGGGCAGGAGTGCCAAGAATCGAATCGGTAAGTCGGATCGGCGGTCGAAATGAATCGGATGGGCGGAAAGTGGCGGCCGAGTCGGGAGAAGTCGAATCCGCGGAAATCGGCAGGCTAACATGCGTCCAATAAGGAATCGGAGCCCAAATCGCAATCCGAAGTCGAATCGAATCGGAATCGGAAGCCATCGAAATCGAATCGGAGGAATCGAAACGAGCCCTGCGGGGGCGCGCGAACATGGATTGGCGTTCTGCTGCTCCCATCGTACTTAAGGACCGCATCCCAGAAACAGTTTCGAGCACCCGGAAAAGTGGCGAAACAATGTCGAAACAGTGTCGGACGAGTGTCTCCCAGGGCCCGGCACAGAGCTTTTGGATGCTTTTCTGGCGCTCGAAATTCTTTCTGGCGATCAAAGCTAAAGCAGGTTGGAACATCATAAGATTATCGATCCATGGACTTGGCGACCGTCGGGGGAGGCGCTCTCCGCAGCCGGTGCCGCCTCGCTCGGCGGCGGCAGTCCGCGATTTCCTACGGCAACGGGACCCGTAGCTAATCCACGCCCCCTTAATACATGTTTGCGATCGCCTGATGTTTCTGGTCCGGGAGATCTTCCTCGAGCTCGGCCCCAGGGAGGCCATTGAATTCGGGCCGCGTGACAAGCAACATGACGTGGATCCGGGGGTGTGAACTGCCCGCGGGCCAGGGGATGATGGGGAAACCGATAGGTACCCATACCGCTACTCCACGGGCCTCGCCCGGGGTGCGTTCTGACCAGGATCTCGAGGCGAATCCAGCGGTGGCGACGAGGGCCTCCCAAGGGGCCCACAAAGGGAAGAACGGGCGAAGGGTAGCAGTACGTATGGGTACCTTTTTCCTCCTCTGAGGATCAGGAGCTCTATACGTAGGGCCGCAGGTTGGAAACACACACACACACACACACACACACATATTGGCAAGGCAACGAGGGCGAACATGTGCCGCGACTTGGGGAGCTCTCGTCGCCGCGGCCGGATTGTCCTCACGATTCTGGTCTCAAGAGGCACCCCGGGAGAGGTCCCGCGAGTAGCGGCATCTGTACCATGTTGCCCCCCCCAAGGATTGGGCCTCCACAGTCTGCACTCTTCCTCCTCCTCTTCCTCCTCATCCTCCCTGTCCTCCTCCTCCTCCTCCTCCTCCTCCTCCTCCTCCTCCTCTTCCTTCTCCTTCACCTGCTGGTCGCTCCTCCTGGAAGTGAGAGGATGACGGAGGAGGACAGAACAGACGAGGGAGTTGGACTGGGACGCCTGTTTCTCCCTCCTGCACCGTCAACCCTGCCATTGCTTCTCCCCTCCTCCATCCCCGAAGCCCTCCTCCGTCCTTAGGTGGGTCGTCAGGGCAGGCCCCCCGCCCCAGGCCTCCGAGAGCCCTCCATTCTGCTGAGGAGGTGCGCCGCGGAGGCGCCTGGACCAGGGGCGCTGCCCCGCAGGTCGGGGGGTCGTCAGGGCCGTTCCCCCGCGGTCCTGAGAGACCCCCCACTCGGGGAGCGCCGCCCCGGACGGGGCCTATACGAGAGCCCTCCTCTCTTGCGGAGGCGCGCCTCCGAGGCGCCCGGACCACGGGCGCTGGCCCACAGGTCAGGGGGGGCCGTTGGGGGCTGTTCCCCCTTGGCCCTGAGAGGGCCGCACTCTTCACGCCCGCTGTCCGGCCACCTCGCACCCCCCACTGCAACATGCCCGCCTCCTTCCTCCCCCCTCCCCGACTCTTCCCCTCGCTCCGGCATGGGCGGGCATTTGGCAGCCCCGACTAATCCGCCCGCTCGGACTTGAAAGCGGCGGCGCGCTGCGCCCCCTCTCCATTCGGACTGAGTGCGGCAGCGGCGGCCAGCCGGGGCTGATCGGCGGAGTGCACTCGGACTGCCCCTCTCCCTCCGCGGCGCTCTACCTTGCACCGCCCCCGCGCACGCCTCTCGCCGCTTGGATTCAAGGCCCTTGACTGCCCGCCCTCGCCACTCATGATTCCCCCCCTGCGCTGACCCGCGGGAGCGCAGAGCCAGTAGCCCTGAGGGGTCGGCGCTCGGCCCGGACAGCGCCCGGCGTAGCCAGCGCGCGACCGAGAGGAATCGGGGTATGTGGCAAGTCTCGGGCGGACAGGGGCACCTGGTATCGCTGCATTAGCAGCGCCCCGGCTTAGGCTCCCGCATCGCCCTGGTACCCAAGGAGGTACCCCAGGAAGTGCCCAATGATGTGCCCAAGGAGGTACCCAAGAATCATCACGGGGATAACCGGTACCGCTTCCCTCACGACCGCTGGCAAGCGGCAGGTGACTAATTTTGGGTACTTTCCCCCTAGCGCCAACCGCTGGTGGACAGCTTGCTGTCATACCTCCGACTTTGAGGCTGGGCCCTGCTCTTGGCCAAATACTGGATTCGGTCGTTCCTGCAAGGCGCCAGTATTTCTCCGACGGCCGCTCAATCCGCAAGGATGGGTTTAGGTAACCTTAAAGCCGCCTATAGCGAGCTTGGTAATCCTCCGTGTCCTCCTCTTACTTACTCCCTCCCCCACCAGGAAACCAGACGTTGCGTTTGTGCTCGTGACGTGGACCCAGAAGGGTTAAGCCCCTTTCCGAGGACCTGCTCTGCATTCCCCGTTAGCGTCCCGGGGCGGTTGGGAGGGCCCACGAAAAATAAACGAAAACAACAAAAGACCTTCCATTGTGATTGTCTCGCGACGCGAAGAGGCACCCAGACATGCGCCGTCCTGATTTTTCAGGACGGGGTCCCCGGAAGTCCCGACCCTTTCCCAAGGAGCGGCTTCTCATCCTGCGTCGTTTTTCGACGGCCCCAGGGCCCGGCGAGGGCCCCCAGGGGCCGAAAATAGCGAAACACTGACCGCCCTGATCTTTTCACGACGCGATCACGTCTGGGTATGGGCCGGCCTTGGGGGGACGGGCCCGAAGCAGGTAATTATACATTGCCGTGACAAAAGTATTATATGCGGTCTTCATTCAACATGACTCAAGACTGGCGGAGTAAACGGAGTGGGCGGAATAGAAATTACTCCGCGTGGACACGCATCCCGTCCCGTTTTTCATAGACAGGAATGGGCGGAGTAATTTCCGATCCTGTTTTGAGATAGAGGGATAGGAGATTCCACGATATCATAAAACCGCATAGTCTTTTGTCACGGCGGTGTACTCCAGGTCGTCGGGTGCCGGTGCGCTCGGCGCACGGACGCGCCCGGCTCTGCCCGAAGCCCGTGGGGCGCCCGAGCGTCCGTGCGCAGAGCGCCTTCGCCGCAGTCCTCTGCTGCCGGGCCGGCCAGGCGGAGGAGGAGGAGGAGGAGGAGGAGGAGGAGGAGGAGGGGGAGGGGGAGGAGGAGGAGGAGGAGGAGGGGGAGGGGGAGGGGGAGGAGGAGGAGGAGGAGGGGGAGGAGGAGGAGGAGGAGGAGGATGAGGAGGAAGAGGAGGAGGAGGAGGAGGAAGAGGAGGACGTGGTGTACACAGTTCGCCCCTCCGAGGGCAGCGCCCCAGGCATGATCGCGTCGTAACAAAAAGCAGGACGGCCACTTCGTCGCTGTCTTCGGCCCCTGGGGGCCCTCGCCGGGCCTCGGGACCGTCACATAACGACTCCCCAGACATGATCGCGTCGTAACAAAAATCAGGACGGGAGGTTTTTGCATATTTTCGGCCTCGGGGGGCCCTCGCCGGGCCTCGGGACCGTCAAAAAACGACTCAGGATGAGAAACCGGTCCCGGGGAAAGGGTCGGGACTTCCGGGGAAGAACTCTGGACGTCGCACGTCTGGGTTCTGTAGCCCCTCCGAGACCAGCGCGGAGAGGATGGGGTCGGAGGATCGCGCAGCGTCTTCACTGCTCGCCGCTGCGTCGGCGATGCGTTGGCGCCGTCGGCGAGGAGGAAATGGGGCTCCACATTGAGCCGCATCGGCGATGCCTCGGCGACTCGGCGGGACCCTCCGACCCCGGCTGCTCGGGCCCGGCCGGGGGGGGGGGGCCTGGAGAGGACCAATAGCGTTGCGTGAGGTGTTCCTGTGACTGTCGGCTCCGACTGCCCAGACCCCCGACGTCGTGAATTTTTCATGACGTCGACCCCCAGCTGTCTGGACCCATTCCCTGGGACCGGTTTTTCGTCCTGGGTCGTTTTTTGACGGTCCCGAGGGCCGGTATGGGCCCCCAGAGGTCAAACCTCATGAAAAACCTCCCGTCGTGATTTTTTCAGAACTCGAGGGGGACTGGGTGCGTGGCGCCGGGGCCTTTTCTTTTGTCTGAGGAGAGGAGGCCGTGGCCCGATTGCCACTTGCGCCACCCGCCGGGCCAACAAGACCAGGTAATTAGCCGAACTAACCGTGACTTAAGCAGGCGATCCCCAGACCTCCGACGTCATGCTTTTTTTTCATGACGTCGACCCCCAGAGGTTTTTCGACCCCTTCCCTCCCCCTCCTCCTCCTCCTCCTCCTCCTCCTCCTCCTCCTCCTCCTCCTCTTCCTCCCATGGGGGGTCGGAGGCGGCGGCCTCCGAGGCCCAGGAGCTTTTTCATGACGTCGGCCCCCAGAGGCTTCGACCCCAGACAGGATCGCGTCGTAAAAAAAATCAGGACGGGGGGGGGTGCATATTTTCGGCCTCGGGGTGCCCTCGCCGGGCCTCAGGATCCCGTCAAAAAACGGCTCAGGACGAAAAACCGGCCCCGGGGAAAGGGCCAGGACTTCCGGGGACGCCGTCCTGAAAAAATCAGGACGTCGCATGTCTGGGCCACCCTTCCCTGGGACCGGCGTTTCATTCTGAGTCGTTTTTGGACGGTCCTGAGGCCCGGCAAGGGCCCCCAGAGGCTGAAAATGACGAACAACCTCCCGTCGTGACTTCTTCCCAAACATGATCGCGTCGTAAAAAAATCAAGACGGGGGGGGTTGCATATTTTCGGCCTCGGGGGGCCCTCGCCGGGCCTCAGGACCGTCAACAAAACGACTCAGGACGAAAAACCGGCCCCGGGGAAAGGGCCAGGACTTCCGGGGACGCCGTCCTGAGAAAATCAGGACGTCGCATGTCTGGGACCCCTTCCCTGGGAC